CGCCCGCAGGGCCCCCCGCGTCCTTGGGCTGCCCGAGTGCCTGCTGCGAGCGTTGGGGCACCTGGGCCGCGGTCCTCGCTCACGGGGTCCCGGCCGTGCCTGGCCCCGCGCGCTGGGTCTCTGAGGGAGCCGGCCACGGGGTCACCCCCGCAGGGTCCCCCGTCCTCGGGCTGCCCTCGTGCGCTGGGGTATCGATCTCTATCAATATCGATATCGATATAACTATCGATCGCACTACCGATCCAACTATCGATATCACTATCGGTTTTACGATCGATATCACGATCGATATCACTATCGATCGGAGGTTGGGGGGTGAGATCGAAGTGGAACGGAGAGCCCCCCTACCGGGAAATCGATTTCGGTTTCGTGTTCGTGCGCGCCGTGCGTGCGGGCGAGGCGAAACTGCGCGAGCGGGCGAAAAAGTCTCGTGCGGCTGAGGCGCGGCCGGACCAAATGATTGCCGTCCGGGCGTCTGGGGGCCCGCGGTGCCCCGCCCAGTGTCCCGCTGGGGTCCCGCGTGGCTGAGGCGCGGCCGGACCAAATCATTGCCGTCAGGGCGTCTGAGGGCCCGCGGTGTCCCGCCAGTGTCCCGCCTGTGTCCCGTCGGTGTCCCGTCGGTGTCCCGATGATAATGATGATGATGATGGTGATGATGATGGCGATGGTGATGATGATGATGATGATGTTGATAATGATGATGGTGATGATGATGGCACTGAAGATGGTGGTGATGGTGATGATGATGGTGATGGTGATGGTGATGGTGATGGTGATGGTGATGGTGATGGTGATGGTGATGGTGATGGTGATGGTGGTGATGATGACGATGATGTCGATGATGTTGGTGTTGTTGTTGATGATGATGATGACGACCCGTGTTGTCGTCGATGATGATGATGGTGATCGATCGGGAGAGATCGATTGTGGAATCGATGGTGGAGTCCATTGTGAGATCGATTGAGTGAGACGTTGGGCCCGCCCCCCCGTCAACTTTCTTACTATTCAGGGATTTCGGCTCAAGGTTTCTGTTGCACTCGGCACGCGGGGGGGCCAGAAACGCGCCCACTTCGGTCACGCACTTCCTTCGGCTTCGCTACGAGGGGCCAGGCTTTGCCAGCCGAGATCGACCAGCACTACCGCATGAAGATCCCTCGGTCGTCGTTGTCAGTGAGCGGGCCGGCCAGGCTGCGGAATCCTCTCCATCAGTTCTTGAGTCCAGCTCGCCGTTGACAGTGAGCGGGCCGGCCGTGCTCCCGATTTTGCGCAAGGAGTCTTCGTGTCGACCGGCATGGTCGGAGAGAAGGAGAGAGCGGCGTGCGTGTCGAGCGGCATGTGTGTCGAGCGGCATGGTGGGATCGTGTGTGAGATCGACGGTGATATCGACAGTGAGATCGATTGAATGAGATCGAAAGAGAGATCGTTAGGGGAACCGATAGTGAGATCGATCGTGAAATCGATTTTGAGATCGGTGGTGAGATCGACAGTGAGACCGGCCGAGGGACATCGATGATGAGATCGATTTTGAGATCGGTAGTGAGATTGATCGAGTGAGATCGATTGAGCGAGATCGATAGTGAGATCGATAGTGCAGGAGGGGGCACGGGCTGCGACAGCCTTTGCCAGCGCTCCAGCATTCTGTGACCACATGCCGCCGTTGGCTGCCGTTGGGCAGGTTGGGCAGGTTCCCAGGGGGGGGGGGACGAATGGTACCAAGGCGCCAAAGAACGAAGGGTGATGTAGACAGCTCGACACCGACGCTCCCAAGAGCGAGCGGCAGCGCAACACTCTCCATTGGCATCGGCACAACAATAATCACAACTGTTGCCCATTGCTGGGATCCTCCCCCCCCCCAAACCTCCTTATCACCCGCAGGGTGGTCGTATAGGTATCACTATCGAGTTCGCTATCGGTACCACGATCGATAGCACGATCGATATCATCATCGATCTCACTAGCGGTCTCAAGATCGATGTCACTATCGATATCACTACAGGACATCGACGGGACACCGACGGGACACCGGCGGGACACCCGCGGGACATCCCTCGGCAACCGCGCGCCACGCGGCCGGAGTGGGGCGGACTTCTGTCTTCGCCGCGCCCTAGCCGAGAGAGGGCTCAGTCCTCCCGCCCGCCCACGCAGCTTCGCCTCGCCCGCACGCACGGCACGAACACGCACCCGAAAAAGGTTTCCTGGTGGGGGGCTCTCCGTTCACTGCGATCTCACCCCTCACCTCGATCCTTCGTACGAGTCCCCTTAGCGGTGGCATTATCATTGCTAGGAGTATTATTGATGTTACCAGTGTATTCATAATAGTGACATCCGCATGTGTAATACTACTATACGTATTATTACAGGTCTTAAGAATACAATGAGTATTCGCATCATCAGCCGTAGTAGTTTTTTGAAAAATCTGTTTCTCACGATTATCCTTCATAGCATTGTTACTCGTAGTATTCGCTTCTTCTCGGTATAATCGTTGTTGTTGTCTCGTCCACGAGCCTTCCCTGGGGTGGCTCCGAACTTCCAGAGCCCACCTCTGAGGTCAGGAGCTGCCTTCCAGCCGCCCTGGATGGCCAGCATCCTGGTCCCCTCTCCTAGCAGGCTGTCCCCCCGCGCAGGATGATGAGTGACCCTAGCTGCAGAGAGAAGCTCCGAAGCACCAATGGTGCACAAAGGCGCATGCCAAACACGCACCCAAAGATCAGCACCAATAACCCGCGAAGACGTGAATACGAGTGAGAGCGAGAGGCCGTCTGCAGAGGAGAAGGAGGAGAAGAAAAGGAGGGGGGAGAAGAAGGAGGAGGAGGAGGGCGAGGAGGAGGAGCAGAGGTGACAATCCAGATCTTCAGTATTTCCAGGAGGCTAGCAACGATGGGGCGAGGTCGCTACAGAGGGGGGCCAGAGCGCAGGAGAGACTGGCCGCGGACGCGCGGGTGGTCGTAGTCCAGTCCCCGCTCATGCACAACCCAGTGCCGCCGACGGACTGGAGGCCGAAGCCGCTGGGCTAGATGAGAATGCCCCCTCAAGCGACAAGGAAGGCCGGCAGCAAATCAATGAAGATGGTCTCAATATGTTTTGCAGGAACGTCACAGGTTGGAATGACAAAGCGATGTCGTAATACGGGACCAAGCATCGGCAATGGCGGAGTCAGGCATCATAGGCATCGCGGAGCACCACCGTAGCCCGACCATGCAGGCCAGCCTGGACCTCCCCTAAGTGCCCGAGGTGCGGAGTCACACAAGAGACAATCGTCCATCAAGTCTGGGAGTGTGAAGGCGACGAGGGCCTGGAAGGCCTCAACAACGACCTGCTTGCCCGCGCTGGAGACGAGGAAGATTGGCCGCGTTCCTGGCTAAGAAAAATGATATCTGCCCTGTAGATCCACACACGCGCCACCTTGCCCATACGGGGACAAAGAGTGAATGGAAGAACTCTCGAGCAGGGTAGGATAGACCTTGCAGGTAGGCAGTGCACAAGCCTTGCGTCCGATTGCTCTGGTGGCAGTTATCTTGGAGACTCCGTGATCCGCGGGTGGGGATTGGGAGTGTATGGTGATGGACGGCTGGGATCTTCTCGGGTGGCCGCTCGGACCCTTGGATCATTGGAAGCAATCCGCTCCCGTTGCTGAGCTAGTTGCTGCCACTGAAGCGGTCCAATTCACGTAAGGACCCCTGTGCACGACTATCGATGCCCAATCGGTGGCCGACGGCATCAGGCCAGGCGCCAACAGTAGGCAAGGCCGGAAACAGCATCTGTGGAAGCTCTTTGGGGGGGGGCGGTCGGAGACAAGCCTCTGAAAGCCCTCAAGATCAAGTCTCATCAGTCGGCTGATGAGGCCAGAAGTGCAGGCACCAACCCTCTGTGGTGGCCAGCGAATCAGCGTGCCGACTTAGCAGCAGAGGAGGGCGCCCGTCAGGCCCAACTCCCGCCCCAAGCAACCGCCGAGAACGCCCGCATCGACGGGCCAGCCGTTCGAGTCCAGTCCCATATCCTGCCGTTGGCCGAGGCGGTCATCAAGGCCGCCTCCCAGCTGTATGGAGCATCCTCGGGGCAGGACCGCCAGCGGGAGGCCAAGGTGAGAGCGGAGGATAGGAGGAAGACGATCTCGGCTGCCATAGTTGCATCCAGACAACAGGTCTCCGAAGACACGCGTGGCAGGTTAGCATGTGAGGCCTGTTGTTCCAGACCTGAAGCCAAGGAACGTGTCACCTGGCTTGAAAGCCCCTGTGTAAGATACCCGTGCATGATACACCAGTCCCATTTCTTGAGAAAATGTCGAGTGATCTACTGGTGCAGGGCCTGTGGAGGCTATGGCACTAAGAGTTCCCAGAAGCTCAGTACTGTGAGGTTTGCGAGTCAAAGATGATCGCCTAAATCCCACCAGCCCTCTGAGCGGCAGGTGGTCTAATGATGCCTTCCGTTCCTCTTCCACAGCCCCTTCATCCCCATACCCCCTCCCCTGGACCTGGACGGGGGGGGGTCGCGAGGGGGTAGAGCGTCCAAGATGACCCACGATGGCTCCAAGAGGGCCTCAGAGAGCCCACGATGGCCCCCAAGATCGCTCAGAATAGCCCAACCTGGCTCAAGATAGCTAACAACATACCTCCAAGAGGCCTTAAGAAGGCCACCAGACGGATCCAAGTGCTTGTGGCGACCCTCAGGACCTCCGCGAGAAGCCAACATTCTCGAAAAGTCTAAAGAAACCCGATGATGTTTGCCGTCTCGCCGTTTCGCTTCCGATGCGCTCTTGAGGCCTCAAGATGGCTCTACGAAGACCGCCCCAAGAGGGCCCCAAGAGCGCCCGAAGAGGCTATTTCGATGGCCCCAGAGGGGGAAGGCAAATCGAATACCCCCTCTCCGTTGATCGATGGTCTCCAAGATGGCCCCAGGAGGCGCTCCATAGCTCCCAAGAAGGCCCCAAGAGAGCCCCAAGAGGGCCCTATGATGGCCCCAAGGCGTCCCAAAAGAGCCCCAGGAGGACCCCAAGACCCCCC